ACCGCACCATTATCGCGCCGGTGTATACCGCTGCTACCGTGCCATCCGTTACCGCTGCTACCGCGATACTATACCGCTGCTGTGACGTACGCGCGCATAAACACCGTTTATCTCGATCTGCCGTTGACGTCCTCCCGTCTCCTCCGCCCCGGGTTCCGTTACAGGGTGCCGGCTTAATACAGACAACAGCGACGTTTAATTGTACACCTCTTATCGGTGTTCTTGTTCGGGCAAACGTTGTCCGCCTTTCCGATGTACACGGATCACACGAAACGGATAGAAAAATAAAAACAGAACGTTTCAGAAGAAACGATAAATATTTACACGCGAATGTACCAACGACCGTTACTACTATTACCGTACATCACCGTGACGAACCAAACGCGGCCGTGCACGTTGACGGGCAACACCGCGTCTGTACAATCAATGTCCGTCGTCGCGCGAGTTACCAATGTTATTGCACCGCCGAAACACCGCAATAACGCGTATTGTTTTTTTTTCTATCCGTAGTTTTTATACGTTAACAACGCAAGTGTTCAGACTTCGAGTGCACGTCGAAGTGATACGCGCGGGGCAGGATAGTTGTAGCTGCGATGGCCGTAAAGACTTGTCGTCACCGGGACCGACCGGTGAAAAGCGGTTCATTTCGGATCGTAGAGTCTAATTGAAGTCAAAAATATTTTGGACCCGCGAACGCGTTAACCGCCTCGATTTCGTATACATTGTTTCCGATATAACATTTTCAGTCGTTGCTGTGGCCCAGGTCGTGATGGGTCAAAACGGTACATCACTCTGTCCAATTGGCACGGTTCGGATCAACCGAGTCGAAACCCTCGAAATCGGTACACGTTTTGTGATTAAATGTATCATAAAATCGATTTATTTACCGTCGGAAAAAATTGGTGCAGTCGTCCCGGAAGATGTATTTCGAAAAATACCACCATACAGATTTTTCCGGTCTTGCATAGGACTATCGACCGTACTCTTTCTAAATATCTTGTAGACGAAAGCAATGCATCCCAGATCTACATTTACCATTTGCGAATAGAAAAATCATACAAAAAACGGTAGTAAATACGTTTGCTGTGTAGAACGACAGGGATTGGGGGTTAGTTCAAGAAGTAAAAACGACCGAGGAGAAGTGATACGTGATTGAACATAACTATCGCGGGTCAATGCGACGGAGGTTATTGGTAGCCGTATGGATTCGAAACAAAACCATAAAAAAGTATATACAACGGTTAAAGGCACTTGAGCGCAACTTTTTGTAAAAATAATTGTCCAGCAAGTAATCGATCGATTCGAATAGCGTTTAAATATTATCGGCCCAAAGGGCCGCTGTGATCACCTTACGATATCTATTGCGGAAGAATCGCACATACGAGATGTGTGTGTGTGCGTGCGTGCGCGTTTGCGGTAAACAATGGCGCAGACAAAAGAGAGATGGGACCGTGCCATAAATTCGGTGTAAATGTGACAGACGAATTGCGCCGATGACGTGATTGGCTGGCGCCACCGCAGCAGCCATCCCATGTGATCAACTCTTAAATCAAAATCAACTTCCTGGCCGTACGCCGTCGCCGTTGCGGCAAACTGTCAAAACCGCTCTGATTTATACCAACATAACTCGTCTTTAACCCTGACAAGTTCTCTCTCTCGCCCCGTCCGTTCCGACCGACCCCTTGCACCCCTCCCCTCCCACCACCGCACAATAGACCACGGATCTCCGCGACCCCGCCGCAGCGAATCCTCCGTCCGCCGCCCGATCCTGAACCCCGTCACGGGGACGCCATAAAGGAGATGAACACGACCGCCCGACTACTCGCCCGTTTACATATTGCATATCGTATTGTAATATTGCAGTGGTACCGGGAAGGAGACAAAAACAAAAAACCACAAACGGAGTCCTGAATACGATGCAGTCGGATATTTCTTACGAGTACGTTCCTTCCATCCGCGAAATTCGTGTTCGCCACCATTTCACATCGATTCCATTAGATTCGTACTTTATTTTATTTTTTTTTTTTTTTTTGTTATTTCAATTTTCACATATTTCAACCGGCAAGTAAAATATGTCACCGTACGATGTTACCGAATACCGTATAGTATTACGGATCAGAAATTATGTACCGTTTAATGTAGAAATGCTATAATTTGTACATGTACGGAAAAACTTCTATCAGCATCGGTGACCATCCCGGAGTATTGTTCAAACATTTTTAAAACGTTCCGGAAAAAAAAAAAAAAAACGTTTTTACTTATTATCCCTTCATTTGTATTTAACGATTTACATTATGTACATATTTATCTGTTGATAATTGATTTGAATATCGCCACCCACGAAATTTTTGATAAAGGAATCGCAAATACGATTTATTTCGTACCCCCCTCCTCCCTGTAACGCGCGCCATATCCAACACGACGCAAGTGCTACGCGAAACGTCGAACGGTACTGTTATTAACGCACGCGGTTAGTTGGGATCCGTTCGTTTTTCTTGCCGAGCCGAAGGGCAGGATTGATCGTTGTAACATGGGCGCGCGGCTACGGTGTCTCGCGTGCGTTTATTACAATTATACGTGCGCAACAAACGGACGTGCACACTCACCATGCGGCGGTGGCAGTACAGTACGCGACAATCAGATCGGTGCAGATAATAATATAAACGTTACATTCCGACGAAATACTGTTTCCAACAAGACCGCAGCGGTTCTGACGCGGTGCGCGTACCCGATACAATGTGCACGCAACGCGCGTGTACAGCTCTGAGATATGTGCGCGTGCATAACGTGCATGTAGTACGAGAACGGGCCCTGAGAAGACAATGGCGTGTTCCGGAGAATTAAAATTTCAAGACAATGCGAACGCCGTGGACAATACTGCCCCTTCCGACACAATGCGCTAATATACGCGTGAGCGTACATTATATCGTGCAAGTGCACGGTGCAGGTACGTACCGCGTTGCATTTTATTATTATTGTTATAAGGTGAGGCTTCGAAATGTGCAACGCGTGCACCAGCCCCAGGACTGTGTCGGACGGTCGGAATCGGTGCACAGCCTTTGGTAGGTACAACGGTGGTGGTGGTGCTAATCCTCTTGATAGCTCCTTCCCATACAGTCCTTCTATTCGTTTTATGAATATTTTTTACAAATTTTTACCGTCACCTACTCGTGAATCATTGATGTATATATATCATTTGATTATACATGGATGATATAGATTTATTTAAAATTCTTGTATATTACACGTAACGGAAAGGAGACTGTTTTTTCCGCACAACTTTTGCAGTTGAATAACTTTGTTCTACGATAAACAATACTAATAAATAATTGTAATAATCGCATGGAATAAGACTACATGAAATTTAAATTTTTGTTATTATACACTCGGAATAAGTAATTCAGATCGATAAAATATTGTAGAAAACAATTTGAGATCTTAAGATAGATTACAGAAATAATTGCTATTACATATTATGATACCTAACTATACGCATCGGGTGCTGAATGGCAATTGATTGATATTCGATTAATATCGATGGTATTTTCGTAAATCCGGTAAAGTCTTTGAACATTTCATTGAAGGTTAATCACGCGATATTTTTATTGTTGAAAACATATCTACAGCAAGTATAAAAAGTATATTAAAGACGAGAAGTTATTGAAATGACATCGTATGAATTTGGTGAGCAATACGATCGAGAAAGTCCAAAATCCAAATTCTTTAAATAAAATTGAACGTGACCAATTATAATAAAGTTATTATGATAAGTTCGTGAATTCTAATACGATTGTGCAATACAAATAATATATAATATTAACCTTGAAGTGCAAGATAGTGAAGAGACATCCATAGTGAAAAGGATTCGAATAAAGAGATAGTATAATGCATCGAGTGAGAGGGAAGAGGATGCCATCAAGGTTAGTGATTGAGAGGGATGCACTCCACGCAATCTAACACTACTTGAGAACTGCCACCGTTTGGTCTACTTAAAACTCATAGGGATATATGCAGATGTACATGCATACATTAATAGCCGCCTGGTACGTTTCTCCGGTTTGTCCATTACAGCGGTGCATGGTGCTGAAGGTTTTTCGTTAAAAATCGAACAAAAGAAAACAACAATACTAAGACGGTAAAATAAAATTTTAAGTACTCTATGGTGGCTGCCAATAAAGTTTCGTTGAATTTCGCGCTACCGACGCCACGGCGGTAAATATTAATCATCTTTCCTGTGTATTGTGACTCGTAGGTGTACCTCTTACACCGTGGGTTTCAATAATATTGAAATGTAGCACACGTGTAGTACCTAACCGTATATATTTCGTGGCGTAATCGTATAGCACTAGCGTGGTTTCAAATGGATAAACGATATTATCAAAGGTACATAAAATTATATACGAGAGAAGGTGAGGCGAGAACATGACATAATATAATATGGTATATATCCACGCACTCGTATACTATTACATTAAACACGTATACAAACATTAGCGACGGCACACTTCATAAACAGATCCTCTATCAAATTTTACGTAAAATCGTACTGTGGTAAAACGGGAATTTCGTTTGGTTTTTTTCTTATCTAATCCAAAACAGTTCTTTGAACGACTTTACATCACACGAAAATCGTGTGCAGTACACATAGCTTTTTAGCTCACCGCCGCACAGTGGATTATTTTCAATATTTCGTAGCCAAAATGTAGTAATATTATATAATAATATTATATTAAACTATAACTATTTTTAAATATATTTTTAATAACAAATATATATATATATATTAAATTTAAGATGAAAAATCGTCATACGAGTCACTAGTGGTGTCATTATTCGTGTCAGTTTCATGCTGTATAATTTTTTCCGATATTGGCAACAGCATAGCCTACCGTTCTTTTGAAAATTTGGTATCCTTTTTTTTTTTTTAAGTTATCTCATACTAGATATCAAACGATTAGACTATTTGAGAAGCAAATTCAAAATATCCTCCATCGATTTACTTCTTGAACATTTCCTAGAAAGTCCTTCTCAGTATTTTTTATGTCCTTATTTCTAGAATCTTGAGCATCTTCGGAAAGCATTCCAATTGGAAGTAAGGCCATTTTTTTAATTATTTTTGGACCGTGTAATAACATTTTGTGAATTATTGTTAGCATATAATACCAAGGATATTTTTCGACAAATAATTTTGCAGTTTTTAGAGTGTACGCTTCAAACTTTTCTATGTTTATACAATAACCACTTGAAATAGTTTGTTACACAACTTTAAAATTGTTGATTATTTCTATGTCAATTCCCGTTATACAAATAGAATGATGATGATTTTCAAAAAATCTCCAGGCTAAATTTCCGTCGTTTGTACTTCCATATCCCTGTTTTAGACTACCGACAAACAGTCCCATTTGGTTTTTAAAATCATTTTGAATTCGTTTCTTGCGTTCAACTACTTAAATTTGTCTTCTCCTCTGACTTGCCATATTTTGATATTAAGCTTGTATGAAACATGTAAGAAACACTCAAAAATCTTATCCATGAATGCAATGTGGATAAACTAAAGTTACTATTAGACAAAGATATTGGTTTTTTATGACATCCAAATAATTAAAGTCTTTGGATATTGCTTCACAGAGATAACATTTTACAGCTGACTTAGTTGATGTAATAGCTTTGCATATTTCGTTGATTATGCTATATTATAGTTTTATTTCCAGATTCAGGATCACCATTTAAAATTATATAGGTACAAAAGATACAAATACTGGCGTTTGCGTTCAAACCATTATCGTTATTTAAATTACATTTGTCTTCAAACTTTTGTTTGTGTTGACTTATACCTGAACTTCCATCAAACCTCTTTTTGATTTTAAAAATAACTAATCTAACTATTTATATGGCAATTTTTTAATTGCATCAGATTGCACTATAAGATACGCTGAATAGTATGATTTAGTAATGATTGTAATTTAATTTCACGGGGCATCAGGAAAAAATTCTTTTTTTGCCTACCTCACCACATAATAAGGTGAATGAAGTTTGTAATTATTTTTCTTTTCCTGTTATTTTATAAAATTTATAAATTGTTTCATATTTTGTAAGAGGGATTATATGGTTTAAATTATCTTAAAATGCATTTTTATATTTTAGTGCCCAAGTTGGGGTCGTTTGTGTTAAATTATTCACTACATTTTCAACATTATTTTGTCCAAGTAAACGAAAACTCATTTGAGTAGCATATGACAGCTCTCACGTTCTATTCTCACTACGTAATTTTTCGGTTTTTTTACCTTTAAAACGTTCACTAGAATTAATAAATGAAATAGATGGTCTACCACTTTTTTTTTTCTTTAAATAACTTGAATGTATAGGAAAGTGTATTATGCCATTCAATCAAGTATTATGTATTGAAAAAAATTTATCTTTTTTTCTTAGACAATTATCCCATTTAGTTTTTAATTTAGAAGTAAAATGCGATAAATTGTGTTTTATTTGGTTTGACCATTTATCTCAATTAGTTATTTCGAGAATTCGATTTTTTAAATAATTACATTTGTCAACAAAGTTTTTTGATTGATATTCGTCTATAATATCAAGCAAATATCTTCTACTTAGACTCATATAACTTTCTGAGATATTACGAAGGAAAAATAATCATTATTAATTAGTATTTAGAATGATATACAAATAGTACTGTAACGATTACAAAACGAAAAAAAAAAAATTAAAACAACTTGCATTTTGAGAATTCCAAAAGTTTTTCGGCATTAAAATTTGAATAACTAAAACGGGTAAAAACTTGCACAGATTTTTAAAAGTGATTATTGTAACTAACAATATTATTTAATAATAAAAAAAATTGACCAGAAAACAGTCGGAAGTAAACTATAATTATCTTTAATTTTAACTTAACATTGACGGGGCTTCTTAATTCATATATCAGGGTATATTGTAACGCGCTGTTGAGCATTGATTGCGATATCGAGAATATTTTTTGCGACTTTGGAAGTACATTTTTATGTTGTTAATAATGCTATAATGAAAATATTACGGATGAAAAGGTTGGTGAACTCAGTCGTGTAACTAGCTATTTCAAAGAGGGGTGTTATTTAAAATTATACACAACAAAATAAATACTTTACGTATACTTTATTGTACAAGAATACAAACACATTAGTACATTACACATGAATATCTATTCATGTGTAATGTACTATTGTATGAGAAAGTATTTTAATATTTTATCATATTAAAATTTCAAATGCACATTTTTGTCATATGTATCTACTTTAAATCGCGCATGAGGCGACATAAAACCACGGCTTTGGTTTATTAGACAAAACGATGAATTGAGAAGCCGGATCCCGGCTTTACATTATTGTTATGTATATATTTCGTTATAATAAATATGTTTTCATCATGGTTTATGATCAATTTTTAACTTTATTAGACTTCAGTATAATGTTAACGCGGTTAAGGGGGTGAGGTGTTACTACACCTGTAACCCATGGCTACGGGCCTGGGTAAAATGGTTTGAAAATTATATTTTTGAAAAACCACCGATATCATAATTTTGTGGGAATTACGCGTATTTTAGTGAAGTGATTTTCAAATTTTTAATATTACATGTTAAATTATTTTACCAGTTATATGTATTATTTTAAAGATTATTTTTCGGAAGTCGATTACCTTATCAGTACTTACCTTACATACGCCGAATATAGACGTAGTTTCTTAATTGTTTCCTTAATTGTACTTGTTTGATTTAGTATTATGTATATTGTATATAATACACTATTTATATGTGTTATGAATATAACATTATAATAGTTATGCGAGCCTTGGTTTGTTTCAGTTTCAGTAATTCCACCAATAATTGTTTTGCAAATCGTCGGCTTTCTATTTATTGTACTGGTATAATGTATTCATATTTGAAGTATAGTATTAGTTTGAGAGTGCACCTAATATCTAGCGTAGTGTTTATTCATATAAAGAATTATATTTAGTATACTTAGTTAAGAGTAGAGTTATAAATGTGACTTTTGATAGAGGGGTAGAGGGAATTTAATGCGTTGTTGACAAAAATTCTTAGAATAGATCTTGTCGTATATGAACGACGAACATGAAAAAAAAATGGATTTTGAAACTATATTAAAATAAATAATTACTATACAATTATCTACATACCTCCAGCTACAAAATCTATATTTCTATGTTTGTCAAGTTGAATGAATTAATAAAATAATAGACGTTATTAACGTTCACGTGCGTATACATGAAATCAGTCGATTACACTGTACAGCCGAGAGTCGCAACTTCATTATAAATATAACCACCGTAATAATGGTTTTATCGCAGTATCTTGTATGTCACTAAATATTATAAGACATCATATAAGTAATTTAATGTTCATTTTCATCCAGTTATGAATTTTTTTTTTTCTAATTTTGGCAATATTTTATTGGATATAGCCCACTGTGCGCCGCCACCGTTGTCGGTTTATACTCGGTTAAATGTCGCTTTTATGATATTATTATATAAATACCTTAATTTATAGCGTTACCACTTTACCATGTTATAATGTAGATGTGTGTAGGTAATCGATTTGGTTTATACATCAAATTCATGTTTTCGACAACGACATTAATACGCACCCTACCTGCCACGATAATGAATGTGACGCAAGTGATGGCGGAGATAGGTCGGACATAGGTCATTTACTGGTTATTGAGTATACTATCGTATATTAACAACAATAATATAAGTTCTGAAAAAAAATGCCATAATTTTTAGTTCAGTTCACTAGTCAATAGGCGTACCTTCTTCTTTTTCCTTGTAAGAAAAACTTTGAGTTCCAATAAATATTATTATACCGATCATTCGTTTTAAAATTTCTTTAAAAGGTTTTCAACTTTTTTTATCGTGATGACAGAAAATATTGTGATATACGAGTATACGATTTTCAATATCATTAATGCAATTGCATTTAACAGAAAAAATCCCATTATTTTTTATTGTTTTGATTATTTATAAATTTAATGCATCCATGTACACTGTATATGTGTGTGTAGTATATTGAGAAAAAAAACTCGGGGCCCAGGCAACGATGGCTTCCTAGTTGCTATGAACAGGATGACTCTGGATAAATGTTGTTTTTATTTTTATAAAATAATACTTAATATTTTAAAATGTATAAGGCGTATACATAAATTATTCATACGGAAGTTGAAAAAAAAATGTGTCTTTCATAAAAGTTATTTGTTCTTGAATTTGATACGCGATAATTATTGAAGATAATGAACATATATTATTGTACAACAGACGGTTTTCGATCAATCAAATTTATAATATTCATGTATACAAGTATACTAATAGTTTATTATAACTAATATTTAAAATAATTTAATAGTACCGCTATAAACCGATCTAATATTGAATGATATACATCCGTGAATGGTAAATGAACTGTCATGGAATATATATTCAATTAATAGTCAGTACTTTATCGACTTGAATGTACAAATTACGATCACTGTAGTTCGTTTTCCATTTGCACTTATGCAAATCATTATATCACGTCAAATGTTCAACTACGAAAGGGGCAGATATAATATATACATTACTGACTAGATGTTTGCGTTTTTGGTTTAAGCCACACCAAATCACCGTATTTTCGCATCGCTTTTGTTCAGTGATCCCGAGCGATTTTTTTTTTTTTTTTATCAATATTATTATGCTATACTATACTAATTATACTATGCTTGTATAATGCTGTGTGTACCGCGTGGTGTGATGGGCGCCGATCACTCGTCGAGTTATTTCACGAATCGAATACAAGTAGAAATATCGTAAAAAAAATAATTTCAGACGGTGGAATTCAGTTTATTAGACCTCCCTCCATTGTTCCCGACCAACTTGCAGACGTCCGTCTACGTTCTACAGCCTGACCTTCGCCATCGGATCGCTCGGATCGGAGGACTGTAGGGTAGATGTCCGGAGGAGGGCAGTGATAAATTCTCCCATCACGAGAGTCACCACCCCGGCAGATAAACAGTAATCAAAGCTTTCGGACTGAACACGACTGAGCAATTTAAACAACATATATTGC